TTATATAATTAATTAATAATTAATTTCCCTGATCAGGAAACATGATAATTCGTTGGACGATTATTTTTCGAACCGATTCGATATTTTTCAAAAGCACATAACAGCTTTTTATCGTGAAATGAAACTTATTATTAGTAACCAGTAATTTTGCAGTAATTTGAAAGTGACTGTAGTGAAGTATGTTGTAGCACTGTGCAATGTGCGTATTGTTGTGCATTAATATTCGTTATCGTATCACAAAGAAAGAATTTTTTTTAATTATAATAAGTCTTTCCACTATTATACATATATAATTTTCATAACAAAATGATAAAAATATAGCCTATAAATATAATTTAACTAAACTTTGCACGATGATAGTACAAGCGATAATAAGCTATTAATGTGATGCCTATAACTATGAAAGAACTCTTAACATCAGAGGGAATTGTAATTTACTCAGACTCATATTATGGAAATAACGATTGTATAATCAGGATATATTCCATAGTCATACATTTTTGCATCCTGACTGAAACGATTAATTTCCACTTAATATAAGTAAATTATTGTTTCTTTATTCTTCTATCATGCATTAAATCAAAATTTTTTCAATCAACTTCAATGCCGCATTCAAAATTTGTTCAATCAACGCCTCAATAATCGCGTTTCTGTTCAGAGTAGATAACGAAATTAATATATGTAATGTCTAAACCAAATATAATTTAACTTTTAACGTCAATATCTTAATGCTAATATCAAGTAGTATTCCGTATTATTAATGAAAAATAAATTAAATTTTTTTATTTTCTTTATCATTCTCACGGCACTCTAACATTATATAAAATATCCTGAAAATAAATTATAATACAGAAATGTAAATATATATTATTAATGTGAAATGTTATAAAAATGTTATGAAATGTTATGAAATGTTATGAAAATATATAAATCGGAAAAAATAGTCATAGGCTCATTTAAATAATCTCGTTTACATATGAATTCTATCACATTTAAAGTAAAATCATAAAAGTTATGACCACATGCGAATAAGAGTTGTCTTTTTAGAGCGCATGTAAAAGTTAAAGATTGAATTGATTTCTATATATAAGTATAAAATCATATATGTCTGATAATATTAACTGGATATTTCAACTAAGAATCAAAGTCGATTGTAATTATATTCAATTCGAGACTCGACCCTATATTTTTAGCAAGGTTTTAGATTTTGTGCAAATAATCTTTATTATTATCCGCGACAACTAAAACACAGTTACTTGCACAAGTTATTCTCTTTCTCTTTCAAAAACTTTGTAAATTGAATTCATCGTGAATATCTTAGGATGTTTACTTCGCGCGATAACATCATTAATCATTTTGCGTTGATAATTTATTCGCAAAGTTATAGAGTTCTACTTCGAAATATATTTGCAAAACGGAAGCCTTCCTCGAAGACACGCACGTCAATGGCACGGTTTGGCATGAGAAATAAAAAGAAAAGGCTCACACGACATGATCTCACGATCCACCACTTCCATCGTTTGCGACATGGTGGGGACTAGGAAAATTAATGGTAAAAAGATGTGAGCGAGTGAACGAGTCAGACGAGATACATCTTTCTGTGCGGAAGGTCCCTGGGACTAGTAGTTTCAATCAAGGTTATTATCAAGAATGTCAACTCGTACGTCGACTGTCTCATGGATACTACTGACATTACTGTTGTTAAACCTGTCACTGATGCATGGAAAAGATATTGGAGGTGAGTAATCACGTTTCTCTCTTTTTATTTCTTCCCTTTTTTCCGTTGAAAGTATGCGAATTCCTCGGAATAAGTGAAATAATCGAGTATTTTTTCTTCTTTTTGGCAAATTGAAAGACCATTCAAAATCAACGTTCTTTAGTAAAAGAGATCGTTAAATATTAATAATTTTATATGTAAAAAATACATTAATAATTCTAAGATTGAAGTTGCAAAAAGTAGCAATTTTATGTCTCGTTATTAGGAAGTAACGATATTTATTTCTACTTTGTTGTGTCACGTATTAGCTATATATATAATTATTACTTTTATAGTTTCTTTATAAAAGGTATCTTTAGTGATGAGATTGTATCGCGTTATAATATATCAGAAACATTTATAAGCATTGATTTTTATAATTTAAATAAAGTAATATCCCGTTTCTTTAAACGTGAAAATTAGAGAACTGCTTTATGAAATATATCAAGGATGAATACGCGGTTATTTTTATCATCACTTCCTGTAGTATGTCAAGCAAATTGATCGTCAATATCGTAATTTATTACACGATAATTGTAGACGTATCTTGTCGGAAGAGAAGCCGATATTTTCGAACACGCCGTAGCATGATCTCTGTTAATAGGATTGAGAGGTCACAATCTATTATTGATTTGTTCAATACATCTTCCGAGTTGACGCCGCATCTTTCGAGAATTCGTTGTTTCGTGATCATTTCAGTTCATTTTTTCAGGGTGAAGATCGACCTAAAACAGTTTCAGATCGATCCTCGAAAGACGCGGCGTCAATTCGTAAACCACATCGAATGTTTATATACACTGTGAAAGCTTAAAATTTCAAATCTATCACCTATATCTACGCTTAAGCTATAACAGAGCAGAACTAATTGTTATATTTTCTGATATTTTACTACTATTCTATAAATTAGATATATGTCACAAAAAGATATTCCTATAAGAAGTCAGTTTATATTACATGAGAATTGTTTTTTAAATCGATATATTATAATTAATTTTTCGTATTAAAAAATATTAGGAAACTACTTATAACAATCTGCCCAATTAAACAAAATAGCTAAATCGTTCATATATATTTATAAATAATTCTGAGAAATTAATCATTAGTATAAAATCTTATTAAAGAATTGGAAAAGCTAACTTCACGTTCTTCAAAACATCATTTAAGTCTAATGGTATGCCATTTAAAAAATTATGGAAAATTATGTAACTAAAACTATTAAATTTGTTGCTAAGTTTAGTTGTCAAATTAGAACCACTTCTTTTGAATTTATTTCCAACAAATATTTTAGTTCGTGTTATCAAGGAAAATAGCAACTTGATGTTGCTTCCTAAAGAAATAAACATGAACAAAGAAATGCTTTGAAAATTTGGAAAAAATCTACAAAAGACCTAATTCTAACTCAAAAGTTAAATCGAGTATTTTTCTACACCACAAATACCTTAAATATTATATTAAATTTTCCATTGAGAAAATATTATATTAATATAACTTAAAAATATTTATTAATATTATATATTAATATATTATTTTTGTTATATTATTATTTTGTGTTATCTTATATTTGTTCACGAATTACTATTTATCTCAACTTGTAATGTTATATCTTTCTTTTCTTTCTATCTCCTCTATTATTTTTTCTAGTCTATGATCTCAACTTAGTTTTATACTTTCTTTTTTACGAAATTTTAAGGGTAAAAAGTTCTAAACTGGTTTTCATGTTATCAATTTTGAAAAGCATGGCTCAATTTGATATGGAAGTTGATATGTTGCTAATTTTTGAAGAATATGAGAAAAATTTTCGACGTGCAGCACTATTTTTTGAACGCTATAATATTACAAAATGCATATGGCATTTGTTCGTCGAAAATTTACATGTATATATTACAATTAAACATTTATTAAATTACGCGTTGAAATGTCACTTATTAAAAGATATATAGATATTTCAAACACTTAGATAATGCTCGTAGAAGTATCTGTTAAAACCCATACGAACTTTTCGGATAACCTAATATTATCGACAAATATTTTTTTTTAATAAAAATTGTTGGAAAAATAAAATCACATATATATATGATGGCAATCATCAAAGTGTTAAGGAAAGTTTTCATCACTTCTCGCCAATAATCTGTTTGCAACTTTTAGACAAATGTACGATTGATAGTCCGGAGGGATCATCTGCAGGGGTATGTAAAATCTTGAAGAATTGCCCGTCAGTTTACGATGCACTGTTAGCCGGCCATACACCAAAAATGAGCTGCGGATTTATGGGCTTCGAACCGATAGTTTGTTGTCCAACGGGTAACGATATAACTAAAGTGACGACATCGAAACCGACCACAAGCACAGAAAGTACAAACACGCCAATACCTTGGATATCCGACGGCAGCAGAGGATCATTAGCGCGAGCAAGTAAGCAGTTCTAATTAATTCTTTGATAAAAAAAAGGTAGTACGTATAACGTACGTATAACGTAACGTTTGGTCTATTCTTTTTAGCTGCACTACTGAACTGGTGCAATAAGTTAGAGTGAGATAAAATATACTTATCTCATTCTAACTTAATGCACTATTCCAGCAGTGCAGCTAAAAAGAACAGATCAATTACTGCGTTGTACCGTCGTTTCTGATTATAACTCCCTTAGAGTGCATTTGGGGAAATGTTATTAAGCACTAAAAGTTCGCGGAGCTAAAGGTTAGTGCTAACAAACGCATCGACATCATTACATTAGTGTGCTACATCATAATTACGCGCTACAAATGATATTCTTTCTGAAGTAGTGCAACAGTTGCGTTAGTGTTTGCAAGCTCCGTGAACACCCAGAATTGCACATCACTATATGTCATGGCTCTTACACATAAATATCGTATAGTACAAATATATCGTATCCATTATTTTACTATTATTCCTGTACGTAATGGACAGTTGCGTGGGAATAAAGCGTGGGAATAAAGCTTCACCAAGAAAATAATTTTCTGCATTTCTCTGAAAAAGTCTATAAATTGGAACAGATAGATCTGGAAAAAAAATCAGATAGATCTGAAAAAAAATCAGAAAAAATATTTTCCTGATTAAACCTGAAAAAATTGCATTTTTCTGTTATAAAAAAACATATGTGTAAACAAAGGTTGTCTGTTGATTGAATTTTAACGGGAAATGTTCACACTTCAAAATGACATAATAGAAGTCTCTGCCCACGGCATACGCAGCAAGAGCCATTTAAACATGATCAGCGGCTTTCAATGCAACCTCCTAATATAAAGTAAGATATTGGACATATAACTAATGTGCAAATAATGTTCACGCTATATAAAACGTGACTTAAAAACTCATACATGTTATATGCCGGCTATATAGGATGTCTATAAAGTCTGTCCTTATCTCCTATATTTGGGAAACAGTTCAAAATTATGAAAAACCGAGAAATACTTGATTATTTCGAACAATTACCTTTTTAAAGGGGTGGAGGATTGGAAAGAGGTGCTTCAAGTAGACCCTTTTTTAATCCTTTTTCAACCTGAAAAAACCCCAAGGTCGTACCTTTTTTGTGGAATGGAATATTTTATGAAAGGAACTTAAAAAGACAAATATTTTCACATCGAATACATATGACGTGAACAATTATTTGTAGAAATGCCTAAGCTTTGAAGTGACGTACCAAGTTTCAAAATATTTCTAGTAGATTTGTAGCTACAGCCATCTATAGTGAGCCCTCAAAACTAACCGGAATATCTAATATATTTATTTTAAAGTTATTTTTTTTTAATGTAGTATGTGCGGACAACGCGAAAGCTGTTTATGGTTTAGAGACACCACCTACACTCTTACTTGATCGAACTCCTGTGAACACTTCGAGATGTGCCCAGACTTCACGTAAATTGATCGTCGGAGGTAAGAAAGCAGAACCGAAAGAATTTCCGCATATGACGGCCATTGGATACGATGCTGGCGCAAGTGGTATAGTGTGGAAATGTGGTGGTAGTCTAATCTCAAAAAGGATCGTTCTGACAGCTGCTCATTGCACTTATACCATAGACTGGTAAGTCAAAGTATATGTATGTGACATAATACGTCAGCCGTTTTTCCTATAAAATCCAATGTGCTTATCTTGATATGTTTTATCCATTTTAAAGGGGAATTGCAAAATGGGCACGAATTGGTGATTTGAATCTGTTACAAACAAATGATAGCACACAGCCGCAAACGATCAAAATTATCGAAAGGATAACGCATCCTAATTACAAACGCCCATCGGCATATCACGACATAGCAGTGTTGAAATTGGAAACCTCAGTTGATTATACCGCATGGGTGAGGCCAGCATGTCTCCCGATTGACATGCCTGATATTGGTCGTGACGGCAAAGCAATTGCCACTGGATGGGGACGAGTCGATTGGGGTAAAATAACAAAATATCGTTCTTATAATTATGTGATCTCAAAAAATAAGAATTATAAATCTTATATAATTGTAATATACGTATGAAATGACATATTATTTAATTAACATTTAAACTACTCGGATTGTTTCAACCGTAAAACCCACAGGGTCAAAAGTCGCAATGTGCACAATCCTATACAGGGTGTAACAAAAAGGTCAGGACGCTAGAATATTTTGAAAAATATGAGTTTTATAAAAAAATATAATAGACAAAAATTATATAGCTTCGAAGGAACCATAAAATGGTGTCATCGGTTTGACCTTGAATAATCGTATGAAAGTCACGTAAAGGTCACCTTCAATTTCTTAAATGGAATATTTTTCATTGCGTATTCTCCTAGATTACCTCAAGAGCTTTCCAAAATAGTATAATTAAATTTGATTTGGCTAAAAACTATTCGAGATATGCGTTTGGAGTGAACATTTTTTTATCTTGAAGTGATTCTTTAGAGTCAATTTGACCCAACATGTTGCTGCATGTTTTTAACGTAAAATTTCTTCCTCTATCGATTTCTGACATCAAAAATAGGCCATTCTATTTAAAAAATAAAAATTGACCTTCAAATGACTTTAAAAAAGATATCCGTGACAAAGACAAGGTCACCATCGGATGACCTCCTCTGAACCCTATAACTTTTGTTTAAAACATTTTTCTCCCTGATACCCTAATATCGGATACCCTGTATATTGAATTTTTCTTTGATAAGCTGGTGGAAAAAGCGTCTGTTTATATTTTAACATCTTAAAGCTTTAGTATTACGATAAGTAATATTGAAGCCTCAGTGGTTGAATTGGTAAAAGCGTCCTGCCCGGCAAGTGGGAAATTTTCAGGTTTGACTCCTGGAAGAGACATTATTTTTCGCGTTATTCTACAGAATCAAATAAAAGGCTTACTTTAACCCCTTAATCTATAATATCGTGTGAGACTCGTGTTAAGGTATTCGAGCCAAACATAAGAAACACAAGTCAGGCTTGTAGTATATAGATCGGGCCAAACGTAAACAACACGAATCAGGCTCGTGGTTTACGTTTTTGCAGATACCTTTCTAATGCACTTATATGTTACTTATAGTCTTGGCCACGTGCAAATATATTTTCTTAAATACGCGGCTCACCGATGTGAACTCGATCATTAATATAAAAATCGCCATCTTTAAAATATCTAAATTAATATTTGCAAGTGTTATGGAATAAGATCTTTCCTAAAAACAAAACAAATTAATTTGTAGGCTTTAGCAGCGTTTATTCTTTATTGAAATTCATAACGAATACAATGTCGTATATATAGCTTGTTGTCAGCCATCATGTTTTTTGGAGGTTATGTTTATCGTTGCCTGATGTCAGATGTTTAGAATACACATTAATATTTCAAAATTACAATAAGGTGCAAAAATTTCGACTTTTAAATAGCATTTTTAAGATCTCAAAGAACCTCGAAGAAGAAGAAAAGGACGAAAAAACATTAAGCCCCTAATAAATATTTATTTCACGCAAATATAATTTATATTATAGCTTTGTAATTTTGCTTTGTTTTATCTTCCAGCCGAGGAAACGGGTTCAGATAATCTATTGAAAGTGACAATTAATTTGATTTCACAAGCATCTTGCAATGAGAGCTTTTACGATGGGGATAGCCCCCAGCTTGCATTAGGCATTGTTGATGACTGGCAAATATGTGCGGGAGAATTGGGAAAAGACACTTGTCAGGTAATATATTTTTTAGCTAACATTTATAATTTAATTTTAGCTAATATTTATATATATATATTTAGTTAATATGTTTAATTTTGATTCGAATAGAGAATCTTTATCTAATAATAGAATCTATTCTTTCTAAAGTCGTTCCCTTACAACCAGAGATCCGGACCGAACCGAAACTGAAACCGAAAACCTTATAGAAACCGGTATTTTTGTTCCGGAACCGTACCGAAATTTTATAAAGCCTACAGAATCGGAACCGAAATCGGAACCGTTATATTTTTTTCGATGTGCGGTTCTTTTATTTCGGTTCTTATTTTGTAATTTTAAATAATCGTTTTTTTCCTTTTATAATAAAATTCTATTTCTCACGGAAAAGGAAAATATTGATTAATTATTGCGATAAATAGAAAATAAACTTCAAGTACGATATTAAACAGAAGAGGATTAACAGAAGAATATATTCTTTTTCTCGTAAAAACATTGAAATATCCGGATCCTTTAATTGCTTTTTATGCCAGTCATTAGAAAAACTATCCTGTAAAACTATTCGAGCTATCAAATTGTTTCCCCTTTAACCTTTAGCTGACACACGTATTTTGAACCCCGATTTTTAACGTGCTCTCTACGGCAGATGACGCTTGACTAAACTACCGTTATTGCACAAACACCTTGGGTCAAGTCTAGACTAATACTAGGTGACGCCACAGAACCAAATTTGGCGCGCAACTATGAAAAAGCATTCATTATTCAAAAACACTCTGGGGTACTTTTAACCCCGTGTGTCAGCTAAGGGTTAAGCATCTAAAATTCCTACTCGAGAGCAATATTTACAACTCAGTACAAGGACGTCTAGATAGTCCGTTAGCATTCTTATGTAATATATTACAATTTTGTAATATATTACAATTTTGAGATAAATAAAAAGACAATCATCCTGAATTGTATAAATTATTTTAACGGAACGTGTATATTCTGAAAAAGCTCAGAGAATATCAAGGTATTCTCCGAATATTCCCAGAATTTATATAATTTACATGTTCCGTTAGGAAAAGGTTATAAATAACGAGGACAATATTATATATCTAAAAAAGTTAAGAGCAGAAAATAGAAATAGTGAAGAAATGCCATCTACAATGAAAAAGTGATATTATTATTTTTTATAATATATTATTGTATATGTTATATATATATATATTCGACACTTGGAGAGCCGAGGCTTGTGTTAAGCTACATTTTTATTAACCCGAGCAAAAAGTGTGTCTAACAGATTAGATTTCAAGACTAGTAGATAGATAGTAATAACTAGATGAGTTTTCTAGCCAGTTATTAACTCGTGATTAGCTAAATATTCTTAATCAATCTTTATTATCTAGTCATTAGATAGAAAATATAGTAGCAGATAACGCTGTCTTTTCTAAAATATACATTTTAGCTACTATCTCGCCACTAGCAGGATTATATTAATCAGCACATCGAAATTATGGTTAAATTATGTTTATGTTACAATATCAAACTCTGTCTAGTCACTATCTACCAAAGCAGCACGTAAACGTTCGAGGAACGTTCGCTTTATATATATATATATATATATAATTTAAGTCAATGAAAACTTCAATTAGGAAACAAGTTTAAAGAACCGGAATAAAAAAAAACCGTAATTTAAATGGTTTACCGGTACTTTCATTGTTCAGAAAACCGAAACCGGAACAGAAACCTTTATTAAATATTTTAGTGGACCAGAACCATAACTGGAACGATATTTTCATTCAGTTCCTGCTTGCAACCAACGGTTGATTTCAACTGTGTTTTTAATTGTTTTTTTCTTCTAAATCTAAATATAAAGAAAGCCGGTTAAAGTTCGATCGATATTGGAAAATGTTGACAGAGAGACATCGAAAAATTAAGAAACCTGGAGAATCAGTTAAATTTTAATTACTATTATCTGCACGAGAATGTGAAGTTTTAATTTAGTAAATTTATATCCGAAGCCAGTACATTTTGTGTAATATGTTTTTTTTTAGGGCGACAGCGGAGGACCTCTCGCCGTTTTCAGCACGGTTCACGACTGTATGTACAATGTAATCGGTGTCACCAGTGTTGGACGACTATGCGGAAGCATCGTACCCGGAGTGTATACTCGAGTTTATCATTACATCCCCTGGATAGAGAGGACTGCATGGCCGGAATACTTCCAACAGAACTGAGAATTATCTATTAAATATATTTCTTTTTTATTCAATGCATAATGATACTTATAGTTCGTCCTTACGATAGATTTTCGTCTTTAATCTTAACTTTGAACTTATTTTATCTTACTACTCCTAGAGAAAGGTATTATTGATAATCATTAGGAAAAATACTAATGACTAATCACTGATCCGTATTTCAATGATTTTTTGACCAATTACTGTAGAAATTAACTATTGCGTCTATAGAATATTTGCAGTAAAATTATGTTGATGCAAACGAAATAAAATAAACCAATGTTACATCATTTCAATAAAAAAACGTGTCATTTTTATTTGTATATTTTTTTATCTTATAATATGCTTTTTCGCGGTTTCGATCATGAAGTAGTCATCCATGTTGTTCATGAAAATGCCTGTCAGTGCATGGAAGTTCGGGATGCCGAACTTCGCATAGTCGCGAATGAGTCGCACAATAAAAAAATCGTTCGTTGAACGAGAATAACGAATATATTTGGTTATTCTTGCAAATGCTTTTGTACGTAGCAAAGTACGCAATTACAGTTTGTACGAATGATTATCTGCGAGCCATATAGTTAAGCGAATCCGGTAATCACGAGAGCACGTCGTCTATAATTAATCAAGACTGCCCGGATTTTTCGAGACTTGGAGAGCCGAGACTCGCGTTAAACTACACTTTTATTAACCCGAGCAAAAATATGTCTATCAGATTAGATTTCAAAACTAGTAGATAGATAGTAATAACTAGATGAGTTTTCTAGCCAGTTACTAGTTCGTGATTAGCTAAATACTCTTAATCAATTTTTATTATCTAGTCATTGGATAGAAAATATGGTAGCAGATGACGCTGTCTTTTCTAAAATATACAGTTTAGCTACTGTTTCGCCACTAGCAGGATTATATTAATCAGCACATCGAAATTATGGTTAAATTATACTTATGTTTCAATATCAAACTCTGTCTAGTCATTATCTACCCAAGCAGCACGTAAACGTTCGAGGAACGTTCGTTTTATGTTCACTTGGTTTGGTTATATTCAAACAAAGTGGGAACGTTCGAAAAACATATGTTATAGAACCTTTAATATATATCTTACGTAGCAAAAGTGTCGCAGTATCACAATTATGCTGCTTTGTTACAATTCTATTTTTTAATTAAAATATATACATTTTAAAGTTTGATTATGTCTATTTATAACAAATTATTAAAAAAAATATATTAATTGCTAAAAGATATTAATATGTAACAGAGCAGCATAATTGTGATACTGCGACACTTTTGCTACGTAAGATATATATTAAAGGTTCTAAAACGTATGTTCTTCGAACGTTCCCACTTTGTTTGAATGTAACCAAACCAAGTGAACGTAAAGCNTCGAACGTTTACGTGCTACTTGGGGAAAGTGCATGGCTATCCCGGCGCGTTATCTCTGATTCCAAACATTACCGCTCGCCTTTGTTCGGTGAAGCCGACGAATAGTCACTCTTATTCAAAAGAAACGGAAGAAGAAACATACACTTCCCGTCAAGTATCTATTCCGTACACACTTATTATGACGGAACTTGTGGTTTTTCAAATTCACAATGCGTGTTTTCTTCCGCGTATTCGTGATTCACCGTTTCACTTAGCCATAAGGCTATGCGTTATAAGGTATTAAGCGGCATATCGAAAAGCTGGTTCTCGAGGCGATGCTTTCATGATTTCATCGGCAAATTTAAGAAATGCAGTAGCCTAGTTAAGATAATAATATAAGATAATAAAATTAAGTTAAGATAATAATATTCGTAATTAATTTGTGCTATTATATGTTTTACAGCAATCATGAAGCTTCCCAGAATGATTATTAAAGCTAGTGTCTGTTTAAAGAGATGTTTCTTAAAACGATTTCCTGTTAGAACGTTATAGTGAAAAATACATTATAACGGAGCATGATCATTGGCGCGTTCACTGAAGTTTTTCACCAATCCAATGCGTCCCTAAAAAATAGGGATGTTACAATAGCCTAGGTATTTCAGAACAGTTGGTGTCTAGTAATGTGCGCACAATGTGAATTTCCGAACGCATCTTAAATCCAGTTTTAAGCCTGGAACACAATGTGTCGTATGTCGAAGTTGTATGTCAGAACGCAACCAATGGCCCAAAGAGAATATTAATTTTTCGAGAATGAGATCTCCTCATTGGACCATCGATTGTGTTCCGATATACAACTCCGACGTACGGCGTGTTATATTCCAGGCCTTAATTGCAAGAAAGACATAACCTTTTACAACATTACTCTGTTCATTTTAAATATAATTAAAGTGTGGATATATTGAAATTGTGCATTTAAAAAAAATACAATTAATGTAAAGCTTTGAAAAAATTCTCCTCGAGAAAGGGAGAATTTCATTGATATTGTAGCGTAAAAATTAGAAAACAGATTATCAATGTTGCGCGAGACAAAACATCGTCTATTGAACTCTTTTACAGTCTATTGGGTAAAGTTTCAGTTAGATAAAATATATAACGGTTTAAATAGTTGCAAAACTATGTCAATGACATCTTTAATTAAATCTGATGTAAATATTACACGTGGTGATAAAAGATCCATATTAGATAGTGACAATGAAAATGAAATCAAAGTACAAAAGACAGAAGTAGGGGAAGTAGCAGTGGAAAGAATCAAAAGAAAAAATTACGTTATTATGCTGGGCTATCTTGGTAAAAATTATTACGGAATGCAAAGAAATCCTGGTGTGAAAACTATTGAAGAAGATTTGGTCAATGCTTTATTAAAAGCAAATTTGATAACCACTGAACATTTTGAAAATTTACGTGCAATCAATTTTCAAAGAGCTGCGCGTACAGATAAAGGAGTGTCAGCAATTAGACAAATTGTCTCGTTGAAGCTGCGTAAGATATTTTAATAATATTAATCTTGTGTAAACATTAAAATTCTTACAAATATTTACCGAAGTATTTTAATAATATTTTAATAGTATTTTAATAGTATTTTAATAGTATTTTATTAGTTTAATTCGAAGTGTTTAAATGTTAATGGTTTTATGATAGCATGCTTCAAATTAGGATGGTTTTTACAAAATCAAAAATCTCTTCAATTTATGATTTAATTTCAAAACAATAAGAGAAAAATGTATACATAAAATATTAGATTAATTATTTTATGTTATATAATTTTTAATATTAAATATTATGTATTTTTTGCAGCAGAAAATCCAGATAAAACAATAATTAATCAGTTCCTACCTGATGTAATCAGAGTATTTGGAATAAAAAGAGTGACAAAAGGTTTTAATAGCAAGAACCAGTGTGACGCACGTACTTATAGATACATCATACCTTCTTTTGTATTTGCATTGGAAAATCAGAATTTGTTAAAAACTGAAGAAATTGATATTGACGAGAGAGTCAAACAGTTATCAACTATTGATGGAAAACCATGTACTGACTATAGATTATCTACAGAATCTTTAAATAGATTAAACTCGATTTTAAAACTTCTCGAAGGTACTCACAATTTCCATAATTTTACATCAAAAACGTAAGTAATATAGCCTTAAAGGAATGCACTTATATTTATTGGAATATCTATTGCAAAAATATTTTTTATCCCATCCAGGAGGCCATTAGATCCACGTGCACGTCGCTACATCATCAGTTTTCGTTGTGTAGACACTTTTGTTTCAAAGGATGTAGAATTTGTGATATTAGAAATCAAAGGGCAAAGTTTTATGCTACACCAAATCCGTAAAATGGTTGCGATTGTAGTCGCAGTGGCGAGGAATATCATACCTGAAGAAACAATCAATGAAGCCTTTAAAATACGCAAAATAGACATACCGATTGCACCAAGTTTAGGATTATGTTTGTGCCATGTAAGAAATTTTTCAATAGCATGCTATACCAATATTAAATTTCAGTTTAATTCCTGTTTACCCAAGAAAAATTTTAAATAATTACATCATAGGTTGCACGATTATACAATGCTAAGTTATAAGAAATATTACAATATCATGCTTGATTGATCATAAACTCAATTAAATATTTAACTTTTTAGAAGAAAAATATTTAAGGAATAAATGTGTTGACAGGTACATTATGAATATTATGCTAAAAGGTATGGAACGGATGGTATGCATGAGACATTAGACTGGAAGGAATGCGAAGAGGAAGTAGAGAAATTTCAAAAGGAATATATTCTGCAGTACATAATAGACACTGAAATTTCAGAAAATACGTATCCTTTCGAACAAATTACTGTTATGAGAATTTTTCTATTTACCTTAACTAATTAACATAGCTCATTAAAATGGGTAGCGACGCTTCCGGAATATGCATTTTGTAACACGGAGCAACTTCCTGCGGAAAATGATGGAGAGGAAACCGTGGACAATGACATGTGAATGTATCATATATCAATCATTTGGCTCTGCCTCTCTCTGTAGTAAATACATTTATGAAATGCATCAAGTAATTTTTAGTTTTTTTTTTTAATTATTCCATTAACTGCCTATTAAACGTACTTCATGTAAAGTTGTAAGTTTCCTGCTACTATTTTTGTGCAATTCTCTGTGAGTTTAAGAATAACGATGACGTAAGATTTTTAAGCTATGTAAAGATGTATTGTTTCTCCTGATGTATTTAAAATTATATTCCCGATGTATTGTTTCTCCTGATGTATTTAAAATTGTTTTAAAGCAGATTGAAAATATGTCCACATGTATGCGATAATTGTATTTGTCATTTTGTATGTTTATTATTTAAATAAAATTTACAGCATATAATTCAAAACATCGAACACATATTTTGCCGTATGGTCGCGCACACACGCGCGTAAGATGATGCGCACACTTTGCTTTCCTTTGCTGGGTAATCCCAGTCTCGTGGCAACCAGTGTGGATCACAGTAGTAGTGAATAAGTATTGAGCTCTATGAAAAAACGTGTCAGATAACGATTGTTAATTTTCCGTTTACAAAGTGCTTGATCATGCGGTGGATTGTTACACGAATCGCCATTCTTTTTACGGTCGTTTGCAGTAAGTAAAATTAATACTTTATTACACTTATTATCGGATTTATTCAGATCGATCTCCATAATGATCAGGATGCGTTTTGATAACATATTTAATTATGCGGGCACGAAGAAAATAATGAACGTTATATGAAGGAAATGTCTTGAATTATATGTGGAATTATTTAATACATGTGAACTTAAAAATTAATTATTTTATAACCGATTTTACTTGTTGGTATGAATAAGGAAATAAATAAAAATTACTACTTTTGAATTTTTATTTATCTTATTGAAACTACTCTTATGTTATTTAGTAAAAGGTTATTTACTTTTTTTGTGATAACGCTGCATCCACATTAGTTCGAGATTCGTTAAGCAACCATATAATCTCTACCAGCTTCAGAAACCAGTTTGGTGGCCTTGAACCCGAAGTAGCGATTATCTTGCTTACACATATATTGGCAGATAAAAGCGAAAGCATTTACATTACGAGATTTTCCTTTCTATTTAACCAGCATTGTCAATTTTTACAAGTTTTGCATATCATAAAGATTCTGTACAGACATAAAATTTCTCGTGCATACGAACTACACAGCTATAATTGATGTAATTTTGCATTACGCAATATTAATACTGTCAATTAATGTTATCAATATAGAAGAGCGACAAAAACAATAAGGATGATAAAATAGAAGAAAAGGATGGTTATACATAAAGAGGAAGAGGGATGGAGGGAGGGGGGG